GGCGCTGGACATCGTTGTCAGGCAAGCCAACCATAAATACTTAATTAAATTCTCATTTTAATAATTTTAAAAACTATGATTTTCTTTCAATTTTACTAGTAAAAGATAATCATTTCAAATTAAATACAAATGTTAAGAAGTCAATACAAAATACCCCATAATCATCCCAGAACCCGGTGTCACAAGTGCATGAGCATTTGCTGGGGAATGAAATAAAATACAATAACTGTCCGGAATATAATTGGACAGAAATGAAAATACAATACAATACTCTGAAGGAGATTCTGCTGGCTGCGGATCGTCTCCCAATACGCAGCTTACCAAAGTCTTCGTATCAACCATGCCGCTACACCACTAAGTCACTAGCTACATATGGACCTATGCAACAAAATGCACAACAAGTGTAGTATGAGTACGAAAACAATGTGTACCAAGTAAGTATCCTGTCTAGCCTCGAAGAAGTAGAGACGAGAGGTCGACTTTGATACATACTAGTGATCTAATAATAATATATTAATAATGCGATAATCATGGATTTATTAAAAATGACAGTAAACTCAAGTAAGTCAAGAAACAAGTAAACATTCCTTTTTATATTTAGAAGTCTCAAAATTTATAATCCATTATTTATTAATTTATCTCAGACCAGGGAGGCAATATTAATTTGTAAATCTCAAGCAAGCATTACAAGCATGCGCAAATCATGCCGAGGTCGTACGGCCCGATCCAACAATATTTAAACTGTGCACTGCCAAAGGGTCGAATGGCGCTAACCATATATGCATCTATTTAATTTGCCGAGGTGTTCGTCTCGTTCCAAAATTTAACACACATATACAGTCAATCAAGAAGTCATCAGGGAACAATTATCCAAAGAAAAGCCAATTCTCTTTTAACAATTTAAGAAAATGAAGTTTAATCTTTTTAGAAATTAATTTACTAATTTGATGTGATTTAAGCAAAACTGTCAATAAGATTGCAAATATTCCAAGTATAGCATGCTCTTGGGTCCTAGACTACCCGAACTTAAACATAATAGTAGCTATGCACGAAGTCTCGTCACCTCGTGCATATGTAGCCCCCACAAATAGAAGCACATAACCAATTAATTCACCTATGTGGACAATTCCCTCTTACAAGGTTAAAAAGGAGACTTACCTCGCTCCGAAATTCCAAAACCGGTTTCCAAGCCCTTCTGACGACTCAAATCGATGCCCCAATGCTCCAAAACTAACCAAATAACGGGCAAACCAATGAAAATATGCCATAATACTCATAACAATTCAATTTGTATAAAATACCAACTCCGCTCGGAAAGTTGACAAAATTGTCCTCGGGCCCACGTGCCTGAATTCCGAAATTTTTCGAAGATAAAGTTTACCCATGACCCACGAACTCAAATATATGATTTTCTCTCAATTCCATGCCCAAAATCGTGGTAAAAATCCAAAATATAAATTTCTAGGTCTCCTACCAAAAATCCACAATTTCTACCAAATTTTCATGCTCAAATCCGTATATAATCCAAGTATTAACTCGAAACTAGTAGAAACCACTTACCTCATGCTTGGTGATGAAAATGGCACTCCCAATTTGCTCCAAAATCGGCTCCCATGGAGGAAAAATGAGCCAAACCCTCGCTTTTAAAAGAACACACTGCCCAGCCCGCTTCTCGCACCTGCGGTCCACCTGCCGCTTCTGCGGCCCTGCACCTGCAAAAATCTCCATCACAGGTGCGATCTCAGCTAACTCGCCCACAACCGCTTTTGCGGGGTCAAGACCGCTTCGGCGATCTCGCTTCTGCGGAAGCTGCGTCGCACCTGCGCCCCCAGCCAAGCCCAGCCATTTCCGCTTCTGCGACACCAGGGCCGCTTCTGCGGTCAAAACCTCACATGTGCGGTTACACCAGATACTAGCTGCTTCAATTCTTCTTCAAATTCAAATTTTGATCCGTTAACCATCCAGAATCCACCCGAGGCCTCCGGGACCCCAACCAATCATACCAACCAGTCCCAAAATATAATGCAGACCTGCTCGAAGTCTCAAATCACATCAAACAACGCTAAAACCATGAATCGCACTCCAATTCAAGCTTAATGAACTTTAGAATTTCAAATTTCTACAGTCGATGCCGAAACCTATCAAATCACGTCCGATTGACCTTAAATTTTGCACACAAGTCATATTTGACATTACGGACCTACCCCAACTTCCGGAATCAGATTCCGACCCTGATATCAAAAGGTCCACTTCCGGTCAAATTTCTCAAAAACCTCCAAATTTCTATCTTTAGCCAATTGATTCCAAAATGACCCATGGACCTCCGAATTCACTTCCGATCGCGCTCCCAATACCAGAATCACCACACAGAGCTATTTCCAGACTCAGAATCCCAAACGGACATCGATAAAACTGAAATGCACTTCAACCTAAACTTATGAAATTCTTCCAAAAATGCCAACTTCCACAATAGGCGTCGAAACGCTCCCGGGTCATCCAAAATCCGATCCAAACATACGCCCGAATCCTAAATCATCATATGAACCTGTTGGAACCTTCAAATCCCGATTCTGAGGTCGTTTACTCAAAAATCTAATTTTAGTCAGTTCTTCCAACTTAAAGCTTTCGAAATGAGAATTCTCTTTCCAAATCGACTCTGCACTTCCCGAAATTCAATTCCGACCATGCATACAAGTCATAATACCTGAAGTGAAGCTGTTCATATCCTCAAACCGCGGAACGACGTACTAGAGCTCAAAATGACCGTTCGGGTCGTTACAGTAAATGTGTTCGAAAAATTTATTAAATATCTATAAAATGTTTGAATGTGAACCCAATTACTATTGAAAATTTACTTAAAGTCATTGCAGTAACCCATAAGTATTAAATCCTGAATCTGCCTCTGAGAAGAAGAACGGCTTAGCTGAAAAAAGCTTTGTTCCTATTGAAGCTGTTGAAATGATAATTAATGGAGTGAAAAGTCTTTTTCACAAAGTATTGAAATTGAAGCTGTTGAAATGATAATTAATGGAGTAAAAAGTCTTTTTCCCAAAGTAATGAAATTTTGCTGATTGAATGGACATATAGCACATGGAACGCCTAGACAAAGATAGAAATTCGTTATTTGACCTAATTTCCATTGAAATTTCAAAAATATTAGGTGCTATAGTAATCGCTTTTAATGGATAGTACATCAAGAGGAGACAAGGGACCCTTGATTATTTGATTCATCGTTCAAGATAGTTAGAGACAGAGCCAGAATTTAAACTTTATAAGTTATAAATTTTAATTGGGACACAATCTCAAGTTCTAATTACCAAAATTTTGAATATAATTTTTATACATAACTAATAATTTTGTTAACACATATATGTAATTTGAACCAAAATTATTAAATTTTGCCGAATCCACCGCCGTCCCTGAACATAATTTCTATGAGATCTAGAAAATCTTACAATTTCATTATCAGAACATTAATTCAGACAGTTGCTGGTAAATTAAAGTCGTTCAAAAATCATGTTGACAAAGTAAACAGAAATTCTCCGTCTGCCACTCTTTACCTTTGCGTAAGTATAATTATAAATTATATATATGGTAAATTAACAGCCCTTTTTAACATGATAATTCTACGTGTAGTAATTAAAATGATTAATAAGGTTTTATAGATTGCCGATTAGAAGAGGTTAATCTTGGTGTAACTTATGATAATTTGTCTTCTAGAAAAAACAGTCAAAAAGCACATGATGATGATGATGATGATGGAAATGGGATCTCTCACTAATTCAAAGACCCACACCGTGATTTACGTACGTCTTATTTGCTTAAGTAATCCTAGTTGTTACTTAGTAATTAACCATTTAGGTACATTAGTTTGAAATGATTGCCTTACCATATTATACTACTAATTATCATCTTTCCCCACAATCCCTAGACCATAAATACTTACCCATATCGGGTGTTTACATCAAACTATATTAACTTACTATGGTTAATTAATTTAATTAGATGAGTATTTACCATCCGTGGACTCCCTTTTTCTTTTATATACAGTCAAACTTCTCTATAACAACCTTGTTTGTTTCAAATATTTTTGGATGTTATAGCGAAGTACTGTTATAGAGAATATATATTATAACATAACATGAAAATTAGTTGCGCAAAAACTTGGCTTTTATAGTGAAGTGTTGTTATATAGGAATGCTGTTATAGAGAGGTCTGACTGTATATCTATATNTTTTTTTTCGTAATTTTGTATAAGCTAAATAATCACTTGAATGTTGGATTGTGTGTAATCATGCATCTCATCTAAAAGCTAAATTATTATGGAGATCGAGCTTTAATTTATTTAATTGTTTTTGAGATGTTTCATGTGCGGGTTTGATTTTTTTTCTTAGGCCAAGACCACATGAAGGTCTTTTTGATATTGAGTGACGATCAAATTCATAAACCCAAGACCTCTATTTACTCTAATAATACCATGCGATTATATTTTAGCAAGAGTCATATTGATGTGAAAATTCATTTATTAAGACGACCAAATATGTTGAAGCTAAGGGCTCCAACAGCCAATTGACACCCATTTGACCTGAAAATTACAATATGTAACATGATAATCTTTTTAATTTATATATTTAGGCTATATGTCGACTCACTTTGTATTCTTCCTATGTATAATTCTCTATATTTTAATACTCATAATAATAATTCTGGCTTCGTTACAGACTTCAATATCCCATTTTTTGCATTTATTAACGCGGGAACATGTATTAATGACTTGATTAGTTAGCATGCAAATAAACAACCCTATCCAACACATGACCAAAAATGAAAGTGACAATATCACGGTGTTTTTTATATAACAATATATAAATAAATAACAAAAGAAAGATCACACACCTCATCTATAAGATAAGGGGAAAACTAAATAAAACCTCTTTTTTCCAAAATTGTCAAAATAGGCGACTTTTATTAAAACTCTGTACTCTTTCTTTGACCTCCTCCCCCACGTCCTTATCTTGCATCCACCTTTCATTTATGTTCTTCTCGTAACAAGATTTCAAGAGGGTTCCAAGAAAACAGAATCCATAATTTAAAAATACCCCTAAAATAACAAGCTTTGTAATTATAAATACTGTTTCTTTCTTTTTCTTTTTGTTAGATTTCAATATACAAAGAAACAGAAAAAAACTAAAGGCAAATGGGCAACAGTCTGGGAAGAAAAAAGACAACAAAAGTGATGAAAATCGATGGACAAATCATGAAATTCAAGACACCAGTTTATGCCAACGAGGTTCTAAAAAATTATCCTACTATGGTATTATTAGAATCTGAAGAAGTGAAGCATTTTGGGGTCAGAGCTAAGCCATTGGAACCACAACAAGAGTTGAAATCCAAAAGGCTCTATTTTCTAGTTGAGTTACCTAAGTATCCTGAAGAAAAAAACACTAGAAGGATCCGTTCAGGGATCCAAATGAGCGCGAAAGATCGGCTTGAAACCCTAATGTTAGCACGAAGATCTGTGTCTGACTTGTCAACCATGAAGCCTGCCAGTATTATGACTGAAGAGTCATCACATCATAATAACTTTGCTTCAGGCACACTCTTGAATAATAAGACGGAGACCGGTGGTGGGCCCGTTAGGGTAAAGTTAAGGTTGCCTAGAGCCGAGGTGGAGAAGCTGATGACGCAGAGTAAAGGTGAAGAAGATGTTGCCGAGAAAATTATGCGACTTTGCATGGCTAACAATGGTGGCGGTGGCGGTGGCGGTGGTGGTGGTGGAGCAGACATGTTTCAGAGTAAAAGTGGTCCGTTGTTGGACGAAAAAAATAATTGGAAGAATAATAATGGAGGAATAATTAAGAAAGGAATCCGATCTCGAGAGGTAATGTTCTCTTCATTATGTACATTGATCCACTTTTCGTGCCATGTTTACTTCATTTCTATTTTATGAACATTTTTTAATGTCATGATTCGAAACTTCAAAAAATGTGTAGTAAAAAAGAAATACTAGAAAGATGAAAAAAGTTCTTCTTTTATAGTGTTAATTTATGTTTTAATGAAAAAAAAATAGGAGTATTACCCAACGAAAACTTGAACAAATTTATGATTGTAAAAAAGAAAAAATATTGTTGTTGTACTCTTAAATTGGTTTCCAACTTAAGGTATTTCCAAAGTTACACTATGTAGATATGTCATTTTTATGTATATATGTTATATATTGAATCTCTTTAGTTTCTTCATGCATATACTTTGATATATATATTTTAAATTTCCTTAGTAAAAATTTCTGACTCCAAAAAATTACTGTAAAACGATTTAGCAAAGTCGCAGCTTTCAAAAGCAGGTGTGAAATTTTCAACAATAAGTTTAGAATGGTTTCAGAAAGTTGACTTTTACTTTTTTTCATATTTAGTAAGAGTTGAAATTTTAATAAGAGTCAGCAACATGAAATAAATAGAAACACGTTAAAATTCAAATATTGCATACTCTGTTCGGTTTCTCATAAGTATCTCCTTTTATTGAATTATTTTATCCTCTAGAAGCATGGTCTATGTCAAACTTTATTTATATAACTTTTATGGGCATATTGCGAAAAAATTGAGTAGTTTAGTTTACAACTTTTTGGAGGGGAATTTTGGCGTAAGTTACTGTCATATAGTCAGGAGGTCATGGGTTCAAGCCGTGAAAATAGTCTCTTGTGGAAATACATGGTAAGACTATATACAATAGATCCTTGTGGACCGGCCCTAATTCTTCGGATCCCGCGCATAGCAAAAGCTTATTGTTTTTTTAAGAGACAAGGAACTGATCTTGGAATAAAATAATACTCTAATACGTAATCGATGAGATGGTGCATACCTGCATATGGCCGGAGTAAGGTTACAGATTCATCTGAACTCATAATTTTATATATATATCATTTACTAAAATATTAATAAACGTTAGATCTAAATCTATAAACTTTAATAGTATAATGAGTTAAATACCGAAAATTTTAAAAGTTGAACTTATTAAATTTTAAATACTAGATCCGCCTTTTCAGATGGCTCTAGAAAATATTAGGTTTGTTCAAATATAAAAGAAATTAAAAGAAAAAGATTCATGTTGAAAGGTCAAGTGCAATTTCAGCTAAAATTCATACCTAATGACCACCAAAAAACTAGTGTAACATTATCTATTTGATTTCTTGTCAATTTCCGTTAGATTTATTGTGGTCAAACAAATAAGATAACAATATGATATTATTATTTCCTTTAATATTGACCGCACATTTTGAAGACGTAACAGATTCTAAAATTAAGAAAAAGTTAAAAATTCATTCAAATAAATTATTCAGCTTTTCCGATATTAGTATATTGACGCATGATAACTAAACTATAAGAATTGAGAAGACGTCCACTTTTGTTGCACGTACCTTAACATAAAATATATATAACTACTATATATATTTTGGTGCTAAAAAGAATGACGTACATTTAGAAATTATGAGGGTAACGCACCTTATTCATCCCTTAATCTTTTTAAATATAAATTTACCTATAAATCACAGCTTAAAGTAGTTAAGCACAATTATATGACCCTTAATTAATCGTGATAGTATCATATAAATTGGGACGGTCTAAGCATTATTTTTCTTGTGTCTACTTGTTGAAAAATACCCGTGATAAATATTTGAAAAAACATTCCTTCGGGTATAGCCTAATTGGTTTGGAGCGCGGTCATCGATACAGATGACCGTGATCGATACCTCCTCAATGCCTTCTAGGTTAAGCCTGTCGCATAGGGTTTGCCTAGTACGGTTAACATTCCATGTGTGGTTTGCAGGCTATTACATAGTTGGGGATTTATCCAGTGCGCTCACCCGAAGGGCAGAGACCGTAGCGATTGCGGGTTTTTCTGGGATTCCAAAAAAAAAATAGAAAAAATTTCTTTTTCCAAAATTAGGGGGTAGGGATTTTGAGCAATTATCTTACTTTTGGCAGCCAAGTGGAATTAAGAATAACCCATTTTTATTTTAAATTTATTGTACAAGATGTAACAAATAATCTTGAAAATTTCAGTTTGTATAACCTTTTTTTTTTTTTTTTTT